CATGATACAGCTGGAAAAGTACTTTTTCAAAGGCCAGTTTTGTGTACCTGTGGCAGATTCAGATATGACTCTTTTCTTGTATTATTTTGTAATATAATAGTTTCATGATCACTGTATGAGAATGTACTGGTTATTTTGTTATTCTAGTCTTTATTTTATTTACACAATTTTTATACATGAGTGTAGTAAGGCTAATATACGGAGCAGAATGGGTTATTAAACCAAGAGTAATTAATTTAAATTTATAACAAGCCTATAAATTGATTTCCAGTCCGTAACCAATCCAATACAGTTATGTTGGTCTATTATATCCCGTATAGCAGGAAATTTTCGAGGGAGTTAAATTTAGCGAATTGCTAAACTTTGGTGATTGGCAGATTTTAACTTGGCAAATTTGTGGCCATGCGCCATAAAGCATGTGCATAATGGCTCAAAATGGCAAATTTTATTTTGGCAAATGGCTATTAGAATGCCAAATTTAATTGCCTCCAAATTTTCCCACTATGGTACCTCATCAAGATCCAAGGATTGCTCCATTACATCATCATCATAAAAATATTTAACTAAACGACATCTCTCAATAGGAATATGAGGAGCTAACTTCATTAACTGAGAAAAAAATGAGAAAAAAGAATGAATAAATACATGTTCACCTAAAATTAACAAACCTCATAAGCTTTAATCAGTACTATGGGTAGTAATTCATCTTTATGTACTTCAAGTATTGAGTCCATTAATTCTCCAGTAACAGGATGATTGCAATACAAGGTGAACTAATTAAAAGAGTAACTATCATTGCCTGATTTCACTTACTAAACATATTGGATCCTTTGTTTCATTATTCAGACTATCATACTCAATCCTATTATTTCCTACGCCATTAAATACATGTACATGCATTGTTATGGTAACAAATCACATTCACCTCCTTCATTGTATCTATTAGAAATTTTATTTTCTTCACAAGTTTCTATAAATAATTCAAAAGGATAATGTCTAGTCCCATCCACAATTTGTCCAATAGTTTGATACTGAAACTAAAATAACAATAACAACAGGATACACAAAAATGACCTATATACCTCATCAAGATCCAAGGATTGCTCCATTACATCATCATCATAAGAATATTTAACTAAACGACATCTCTCAATAGGAATATGAGGAGCTAACTCCATCAACTGAGAAAGAAATGAGAAAAAAGAATGAATAAATACATGTTCAACTAAAATTAATAAACCTCATAAGCTTTATCCAGCACTGTGGGTAGTAGTTCATCTTTATGTACTTTAAGTATTGAGTCCATAAATTCTCCAGTAACAGGATGATTACAATACAATGTGAACTAATTAAAAGAGTAACTATCATTGTCTGATTTTACTTACTAAACATATTTGATCTTTTGTTTCATCATTCAGACTATCATACTCAATCTCTTTATCACTAGTCTCTTTATCTCCTGCAGCACCCTCAGTCTCTTTATCTTTCAAATCTATTAATAATTATATCACCAATCAAATGATGACAATAAAACCTTTAATATCTTTTATAATCTTCTCTTTGTGTTCTCTTTTAGTAATTAGTTCCATATTCTTTAATGTTATTTTTTCTTGTAATTCCACTATTATTCTTTTATTATCTACTAATCGCTGATAGTCTGGATTTGTCATTGCTTTAAGATGAAATTTGCAGTCATCAATTTCAAAAGTCATTCCTCTTCTCACTTTACTAGCAGCTTTAATTACTCATAATTATTATTATAATTAATAAAGCTACTCTAACCTGAATCAGTGTGACTAGTAAGTGATCTCAAATACCCAGCCTTCATTTTTGATAATTTGTCTGATAATTCTTTGCTTTCTTTTTGTATCTCATTAAACTGAGACCTCAATGCAGTAAACTCTTCGTCAAGTGGTTCTTCCTATTAATAACTATTATAATTAATACAAACTACTGAGATATACTTCAACTTCTTTAAATGATTCAGTATCACTTTGAACAAACAATGATTCTTCCTAATAAATAAATCGTTACATTTACATAAATAAAATACATAATCAATTTAAGGTTAAACTTTTAACCTCGGGTACTTGAGTCATTGATATTTCTCGTTTCAATTCAATCAGTTCCTACAAATACATTGCATTGCACAGTCTGGCAGTACGGCATATATACCTTCTCTTTGCTGCTGATAGCATCTCTTAGTTTATATTCAGCTTCTTCAAGTATAATATAAGAAATAACCTGTACATATAATAATTAAGATAATCATTACCCGAGACACACGTAAGCGTGATCGGGGGTAAAGCAGTAGTCCTATCTGTGTGTGTAAAGTAAAGTAATGATACATTAACTGACCTCAGTATGTTGTAGTAAGTCTCTACGTTCTTTTTGTTCCTGTACATAACAATGATAAAATAATATTCAACTATTTATGCATATCATTTACCTTTTGTATAACATCTTGTCTCCTCCATAATGTTAAGTTACCAATAGTCAGTTTCTTTAATCCTTGTCCCATTAGTATATGAATATTCTCTATCATCCTCAATACAGTAAACCCAACATCAGAGGAAGAAAAGAAGCAAGTGACAGATATTGAATTTGTTTGTTTTATATAGTCAATCTTCAATAGTTTACCGGATGCTTTTGCAAGGAGCTCCTCAATATCTTTGAGTAAATGTTCCTCAGGCTCCCAATCAAGGACAAAAGTAACTGTTTCACATTGAAGATGAGGAATGATGGCGAATCTTTCCTTCAAACAAAGACTGATGGAGAGTGAGTTGCAGAATTCCTTTAACTCTGTTTTATATGCCTTAATGTGTACATCTGCTTCAGTGATCTTCATCTCATCTACTACAGTATGAAGGAGTGCAATATTAGTCAGTGAACACTCATTTTGAATAATATGCAAGAGACTAGAAATATCCCGACACTTCTTCACTTTTTTACTAAGAACAGTGCCACAACAAGACAAAAGCTCCTTTATATCTTTTAGCGAACAGCGCTTCTGTTTAATAATCTTGCACACATTGTAAAACATCCTTCCGTAAGACATTCTAATTGAGATAAAGTCCTCCAGTAAGCCTTTTGAAACAGGAACATGTACTTCAACTATAAAAGATATTACTAGCTTTGTAGTATGTAAAAGGTGGATACCTTGAAGTGATAAAGGCTGTGAAGATAAATTGCTAGCAGCTGTTGCATTAGAAGGAGATGTGTCTATATATTAAAGAATAAAATAATGATACACTTTTATTATTATACATGCTTACCAGATTGTGTTATCTTGGTTTGATCGGCAGTACTTGTATTATCTATAGTGATATTATTGAATGTACATGTGTTATCATTTTATTAATAATTATTACCTTGTAAAACTACTATATCATGATCTTTAATAGTCTCAGGAACCACACTCACTTCAGGAGTAGGAAAATACTTACCTAAACCAGGGATATTCTATTATATTATTAGTCTATTATATCCCTGCCTAAACACATAATAATAAACAAACAACTGCCATAATATACCATTATAGCACTTTATTTTGGCAATTTTGCTAATAAACTGTAATTGGTGGTTTTTAATTTGGTGATTTTTGTGTACAATGCATTACTGATCATGCACTTTAATATTGGTAATTTTGCTGGTAGATCGCCAGTCGCCAAAATAAAACTTCAGTGCTATAAACAATATCAGTTTTAATAGGAAACTAAAATTTGATTTACATAGATTGATTCACATTTCCCACCCACAATATGCACACATAACAATGAATAATACAGGCCACCCACATCAGCCTTATCTATGTAATGGGAAACTATAATTTGAGTAGCCCTTATCAACACATTTCAAAAAAGATACAGTGGCTATTATTATGATACTCACTAATATCATCCAGTATAGTTTGTCCCAGTGATACATTAGTACTGATTGTACACAATACATTAGCAAATGTATGTAAACTGTTGGGATCAGTTTGAACAGCTTCTTTGACAGCAGTTAATAGAGCCTCACGTTGATTAGGAATAGAGGGACTAGCTGACACCACTCTACTAACTGCTTCTTGTGTTAACATATGTTCACCATAAAGTAACCAAGCAATACTAACAGAATCACAAAGAGACTGAGACAGGACAGTATGACGATTATTAAAAATATTAATAAGAACATGATGTTCTATGATAGAAAATACAATGATTATAGCTACATACAGTTATGGTTGACTCACTTAACTTCTCAGCTACAGCAGTTTTATTCATAGATTGTAGAGCATCTGACAGTGAGTCCAAGTTGGCTCCTCCTCTACTGTCAACATCATCAGCTCTATCTAACCATTGGGAGAGGCACTCTGTCATACACCGAGATACATCATGAGGATGATTCTTTTCTATTGCATCCAGTGTATTCTTCTTTAGTCCTATTCTCAGTCCAAGCTCATACCACTTTGTTTCTGGAAAGCCACATATCTTCAATAAGTCAATAACATCAATCAAGTCGCTAATGTCTAAAAACAAGCGTAACAGTGTATGTCAAATTTTTTTATTACATCATCAATACCTAAACAAGTTTGACCAGTAGCCATAGTTCTACTGAAATAAGTGGGCCCTGAGGCCAGGGCCTCAGAACAGCAACAACTTTTCTCTTGCTCGAGCTATAACGCTTTGCAAATTTGGGTGTGGCAGCATTTTTTAAGTGCACGTGGGCGTTAAATGACACTTCACAAAAATGCAGTAGCTGATCACAATTGTATGACAAAAAGTCTACAGTTATAGGTATTTCTAGTACATTATATGTACATTTAAGTAATACATTATGTACCATTAACTGACTGTACATATACATGATGAAACTTGAGGTGGCCTTGCTTCCTCTGCCTCTTATCTCTCTTTATCTGTTGAATTGCAAGCTACTGTAGCATAATGGATGCATTTGCAGCATGTCCTATTATTTTATGGACAAATTGCATCTCATTTAACTTTTGGTGCTAATATACCTATATATTCACCCATATCTTCCATTGCTAACCCTTCATTTATAAATAAATAAATCATTGCTTCAGTCATCTCTCTGTTATTTTATTAATCAATTGAAGTATGATAATGATAATGTGCCTCATACTTGTCTTCTCATCATAATCATTTCAGTAAACTAAAGTGGAGCAGACCATGTTGACCTAGCACTGCTGAAAATGAAGCTTTTTCAACAACGGCTTAATAAATTATCCATTCAATGAGGTACTGTAGCTATACCAGTTAACTGAAGAGATTGCACCCTATAGCAAGTGTAGGCATATGCAATTAAAATTGTGGCACTTTGGCTATTAGATCTATGTGTGTGTGATAGCTCAATGCTATGACACAGGCAGCACATTGAATTGACAATTAAATGTTTAATGTTTATTAATAATAATAGCAGCTTACAAAAATATATAAACCTATCAAAATATCAAGAGTAAGAAAAAGGTTAAAATGTTCAGTATAAAATAATGTTCAAAAAACTGTATTCCTAAAAATAATATGTATAGCAGCAAGTAATTAATATAATTAAAGTAAGGAGAGTGTCCATTAAACATTAGTCCAAATAGAGAAAAGGTATACAGGCAATGATTAAGGGAATGAAGATCCCTCACCATTAATGTTGTAAGTAGTAGAATTTTCTGTTTCATTGGATTTGAAGGTTAGGTAGTCAAGATTGAGAGTAGAACGATTGACTGTTTCACTGAATCTCAATACCAGTTGACCATTATTGAGATCAAAATCAAATCCAGTCATTGTTGGAGGAGTTTTGTCTTCAACATGATCTGATGCCAGTAATGCATCATTGAATGATATTGGGTTAACTGGATTCATACTTGTATCATTAATGAAATCAGTCGTGATTGCTAGATATGTTGTGTTGCGACTCACAGCAAGTAGTGGTCTTCTCTTTAACTCATTAAGATCAGTGTTATTGAGAGTCACTGACAATATAGTATTATCTAGCCTCAGAATGGTCACATTGAGATCAGCTAGTGTATAATGTGCACATGAGTCTGTTAGTAGCCTGGAGGATGTGTTTTGGAATGTGAGAGAAGTGGAATTGAGTGTATAGTGTAATACTGTCTCAGTAAATGTTAGATTCAATTCACCATTATCCATATCCAGTGTGTAAGATACTAGGCTTGGGTTAGTAGTGTCAGCAGTGATATTGCTTACAGGTAATGGGTCACTGATATCAATAGGAAGGACTGGATTGCCACTGATGTCTAGTATACTTCCCTCATCCAATGAGAGGTAAGTGTTGCTGGAGTTGGTTGCTAGCTCTAGTATTGCTTTCAGTTCATTGAGATCATCAATAGTAAGGTTGACTTCAATCCAGCTCTGCTCTATACTAATGACTGAGCCATTTGTAAGTGAGTATGAATATGAAGTGTTAGTGTCATTGCTACTGGTGAATGTCAGCCCAGTTGGTTGGAGTGTTGATTGATCAATTGCTTCAGAGAAGTTTAACGTAATGATACCAGTGTTAAGATCAAGATGGTACTGATCCAAACTGGGACTAGTTGTATCTGATATAAATCCACTAGCCTTCAAAGGGTCATCTTTATTAACTCCAAAGACTGTATTTCCATCATTATCTCTGACTGAGTTGGCAGTGACTGTTAAGAAGGTATTGTTTGTTTCATTATTTAGGCCAGAGGCAAGCTCCCTTAAGAGTTTAACCTCATTTAGATCATAGAATGACAGTTGGATTACAACTTCAGGAGAGTCTAAACTGATGACATATCCACCAGTGAGGTTATACACTATTAGTCCATCTCCTGTATCATTGCTGCTTTGTAAACTGAATCCAGTTACATCAATACCAGAAGCATTAACTGTTTCAGAGAAAGTAAGGTGTATCTGACCCTCATCCAAATCAAATAGGAATTCATTCAGGATTGGTCTATGAGCATCTCTAATGACGTCAGCTGCCTGTAGGCTGGTATTACCAAATCTTGCTTCAACTGGCACTCCTGAACGATCCTCAATGGCAGAACTAGTAATAGAGAGATATGTGTTTGATGGTGAGATGCCTAAGTTAGTCAGTTTCTTTATTTCATTCAAATCATATACACTTAGGGTCACATTGATGACTGGGCCATGTACTAAAACAGCTCTGCTAGTCTCAGTTAGTGAATAAAATGATACTAAAGTATCAGTAGTTTCATTCAATAATGTAAATTGTGTAGAGTTGAGAGTATTGGCTGCTACTGTCTCAGAAAATGTGAGTGTTAGTTGCTCTAATGTGAGATCTAATGTGAAGTTGACCAGTACAGGGCTGGTAATATCAGATGTATACTCATTGACTGGTTCAGCAGTATAGTCTCTATCTATTGGTGTGATAGTGTTATGACTCATGTCTAGTACTGTTGTATTCAGCAGTGTGAGCCATGTTGTTGTATTATCCAATGCTATGCCTTTAGCTTTGATATCATTGAGATCATCGGTTGTTAACAGCAGAGTGAGTATAGTATCATCAGTCTGTGATACTAGCTCTCCACTGGTTAATTGGTGATATTCAGATGTCATAGTGGGCATTAGAAGAGACTGGAGACTGATCCCTGTTGGATTGAAACTGCTTGCATTGACAGTTTCAGAGAATGTTAGGCTCAATTCTCCAGTATTGAGATCAAAATCAAATGAAGTGAGTCGTGGACTTGTTGCATCGCCAGTGAAATTGACAGCTTGGTGTCCTGATACACTGACTGATGGATTGTCATTCATATCAACAATGAAACCAGTCTCAAGGTTGAGATAAGCATTTGCCATTAGTGTATAGAGACTGGTATTTTGTTTAATGGCATTAAGATCATCAGATGTGAGGAACAGCCTTAGTTGTGGTCCATTGGTACTGTTGATAATGAGATCTTGTGGGTTGAATACAATACTGCCATTGATAGCATTAGAAAATGAGATTAGGGAGACATTAACTGATTGTGCTTTGATAGCTTCATTAAAGTTAAGGACAACCAGACCTTCATCTAAATCAAACAGGAATGTCTCTAGCTCGGGTTGTACATAATCTTTATAGTAGTCATCAGCAGAGAGTGTCTGTTCATTATTGGTATTAGGAGTGACATGAGACATATCTTGAACTGCTCCACTAGATATTACCAATTCAGTTGAGTCTTGATCAACAGCTAGTGTTGTATCTAATTTGATTTTGTTAAGGTCTTGACGACTGAGACTGACAGTAAGTATAGTGGAATCATCCATTAGCACACGTGATGTGTTGGTCAGTCTGACAATGCTACTATTAATGCTTGATCTGAGGGTCAATCTAGTTAGATCAAGTGAGCTATATGAGACCGTCTCATCAAATGTTAGCATTAATTCATTGGTTGTTAGATTGAGTGAGAATGAGAGGAGGATTGGATCGGTAGTGTCATCAGTAAAGTCATTAGCTCGCTGTGCATTCTCAGGCTCTATTTCAGTTAGATTGAAGCCGGCCATATCATAGATACCATCAGATAAGAAACTGATGTAAGTGTTCTCTTGTGTGCTGGCCAAGCCACGTATTTTCTTTATTGCATTGAGATCATCAATAGTGAGATTGAGTGTAATAATAGGAACATTATCAATTGATGGGTATCCTCCAGTTAATGTGTATGAGTACAGTGAGTCATTACTGGCTGAATTTTGAAGTGTGATGGCTGATGTGTTTAGTGTTGACACATTGACTGACTCTGAGAATGTAAAAATGATTTGGCCTTGATCCAAATCCAAATGGAAGTAATTTAATGTTGGATGAGTACTGTCAAAGAGTACAGCACTGGCTTGTATGGTGACTCCATCTTGCTCATTGATATCATTTGAATAGAAGTCACGAGCTGCTTGTGAGTAGAGGAACAAGAATGTATCATCAGTACTAGTAGCAATATCTGTTAGTGTCTTTAGACGATTAAAGTCATCACTATTAAGAACAACATACACTTCCATTGTATTATAAACAGTAGTAGCAGTTTCACCAATACGGTTGACTGTCACACTTAAGCTACTAGCTTCAGGATATGGAGTTCCACTAGTGAGTGGTACAATGGTTGTAGAGTCATTTGTGTGATTCTTATTATGGAACTCTACGTATTGATATTGGAATGAGGTTAAGTCAATTGGTTCAGAGAAGGTCAAGTGTAGTACACCTTCTTCGGTAGTTGCATTCAATACAAAGCTTGTTAATACTGGCTCTGTGACATCAAAAATATAATCATTTGCTTGTAATGCATTACTATCAGTAATAGTGTCCATGTACAAGCCTGTTGTGTCCTTTATTGCATTGTTGGTCTGTACACTAAGATAACAATCAGTTGTATTTGTACATAGACCATAAGGAGCTTGTATCCTGACTCTGTTGAAGTCATCAGGGGTCAATGTAACATCAATGATGTACCAATCTCTTTGGCTAACAGCTCCACCTGATAACCTCAGTCCAGGGACAAGATTAATGAAGGTTGGTGTAGAATGTAGTTTTAATTCGTCAGTTACAATGAAACTGCTGTAGTCAATAGACTCAGTGAATGTGAGACTGAGTGTTCCAGAATCAGCATCAAATGTGAATGAGTCTAGACTAGGCCTCTCAGTATCTGTCAAATAGCTAGTGACTGGTTGAGCATCAGTTAGAGATGATGGTACATATGCCATGTCAACTACTGTG